GAATGGTGCTGAACATTGTGCAATCAACAGTGAGCACCCCTACTTCTGTCCTTATGATGGAGGGAAGTTCCTCGTTGAAGCTACTAGTGTGGGCTGGGCCTTGGATACTACCATGAGGAACTCCTGCAGAAATGTCCTCAAATTGAGTTGACTGACCTCAAACAACCACAACCATTTTTCTTTGTGCCAGGTGTGACTGCAGAGTTCTCCCTGATACCTATTGACTCCAGTTTTTGTAGAGAACCTCAAGGATTACGCTCAGTTAAATGTTGGTTGTGAGATCGCTTAGCTCAGTCTACCACTTGCTGCTTATGTTGTTTGGCATGCAAGTAGTCGTGTTTTACAGTTTCACCAGGTTGATACCTCATTTTTAGATATGCCTGGTACAATTCACGGTGTGCCCTTCTGCCTTCTTTATTGAACCATATTTATCCTTTGTTGATGTCTACCAAGAAACTCATCACACTGCTTGTCAAATACATGGAAGTTGATGTGAAATCGTGCCCACTTCAAAATAGGCCTTACATGACTCTACCATAACCCTCATGGCTCAGACCCCTATAAGATTCCGCCCTCTAGAATGAACCAGCTAACTTGGAACAAATGCTGGAGAGAGAGGAATTCTCTAAAATTAACTGGGTGGATTTCCACTGTCAGATTGTTCCAGGAAAAGAAAGACAAATGCATCAAAATTGTTAGCATTTTGAGCACAAGGGCTTCTCTCAAAGGATGTTCTGGGTTTAACACACATTTTAAAAATATGTTTGCTTGTATACTTAAGTTTGTTTTTATTTAAAGGAAGGAAGGGAAACTATTAAGTTCTAGTAGTTGAATTTTGTTTCGATTCAGATAGTAGTCATAAACTGGGGATTCACATAGGCTCCCAGGTATCGGAACAGACTGAAATGAAAGGAGGGTGCCATCATTGGACTATCGCTGATGTGGAGATGAAGCAAAACCACTTAGCTGTCAATCTTGATTCTCAGCCCGAGCAAGTGGATTCTGCTTGGTCAGAATGGTTGCCTTGGGAATGCAGCACAGATTGATAGTCTCCATTACACTTTCTTTTAAACATGCAAATTGTGCAATGCATGTACAAATTCCTTTTGCAAGCTTAAAACCAGGCCCTGTGTGTGAATATATGTAGTTTCTAGTACAGGTAGTTCTCCTATAACATGATAGTTGCATTCTTGTGTGACCTTGCATGATAGAAAATCACGTTATAGGGAAATCGTTATAGAAAATCACTATACCTGAAGAGCAGAAAGTTCACGTTGTCCAAACAGTGTCCACTATTCATCAATCGCATTATGGCCAATTCATGTTAACAAAACATGCGTTATAGCAGAACTACCTGTCCTTGCAAGTGTCTTACAGTGCAAGCCCAGCTATTGATCTTCAATTAGTTTCTGATATAACTTTTGGCTCATACTGGATTATTTCATAAATGATTTCCAATAGCAGGGTCACATCTAATGGCGGCCATACTTTTTTAAAGGCTTTTAATCACATGAAATTTGAGCAGGATTGGCACACTATATGTGTTTCAAATGGTCGATGAAGCATATTGTTTGATATGGTCTGCATTGGGACGCTTGGCCCAGATAACTGGCATCATGCCGACAATAAAACTCTTATGTCATTTTACTCATTTGGGTGCGAGACAGAGTAACCTTTTGACTTGACAACAGCATCCCGTTTGTAGAGAAAGCGACTTGTGGGCTTATTGCTTCATCACAGTTTGAGACAGTTAGCTTCATCTGTTGTTCAATTTTTTTGGGACAGCATCTCCTGTGGACATGGTGGACATGAGGTCTTTCATGAGTTTTTGCAATATACAATGAATGATTTCATTAGACCATCTGTCATTATGTAGGATAGTTTTGAAAAGATCTTTTTCAGCATCAAACCTACATGGTGAGCTGATGGCCGAGGTCCTATTCATGAGGTTACCCATAAGATTGATCTCCCAGAACCTGTTCATCACCTACAAAGCACAAGTCAGAAGTGTGATAAAATATGCTCCATTTTGTCTGAATCAACACAATTCTAAATACACTCGAGAAGCTTAACACTATCCAGAGCAAAGTAGCCTGCTTGACTGACAGTCCTATGACAACCTTCCAAATTAATATATCCATCACTGGCACAGTGGTAGCATATGTACCATTGACACAGTACACTGTTGTAACTCACCAAGCCTCCTTCACAGCAACTTGACCATGACCAGTTAGAAGGCAAGGGTGATAGATGCATGGAAACACTACCATCTGCAAATTCCCCTTCAAAACACAGACAATCCTGACACTGAAATATTCTCTAGTCCTTTACTGTCTCTGAGACAAATCCTGGAATACCTGCCTGACCTACACCACATGGAATTGTTCAAGGAGGTGGCTCAATGCCACTATGTGAGGCGCAATTAGGGACATACAGCAAATGCTAGTTTCACCAGCAATCCTCAAATTCCACAAGTGAATAAATATAGAGGCTTCTATTGATCCTCAATCAAATTGGAGACCATGCAGCACATCTTGAATAGGTTTATATGTCCTTATAGCAACTCCTGCTCAAGAGCAACTTTATAAACAGACCTTTCAAGGTCAGATTCCCTTGTCCCTGAACTGAAGAAAGAGTCACACTCATCCTCTGGGAAGTATGTGACTGTTTCTCATCTGCCAACCGCACTTACTACTTATCACCCATGCACTGGTGTTACTTCCTTGAGCTCATTACTTGCATCTTCCAAAGTCTAACTGTGCAGGTGCTAGCCAATGGTGCTAAGAGAGATTGCTGTGAGCTACTGAGCTACTGGGACGCAGCTTGAGCCATCAGTGTGTACTTTCTATCAAGTTCTTTTTAAATGTAAATGTGAAAGCTTTAAAATTTTGGTGAGTTGCTGCTTGTATGTCTCTCGTTCATGACCAGCATTCAATGGGCTATCTGTTTCCTAAGGGGTCTGTGTAGCAATCAACTGTATGAATGTTTAGCTTCGGATTAGTCATACAAAGTATAGCTACTTTGGCCATATTCATGACATCAAAATCAACTTCCTAAACACTACAGCACCAGTGGGTGACCTCTTCAGGACCCCATCCTGAAGATGGATTATTTAATAAAATTGTGTCTCAGTCACATGGGAAGATCACTCACACAATGTACTAGTCAGCCCAGTGAACTGAAGAACTAGGTTCAATGAATAGTTCACCAAAGCTCCATATTACGATGCTTTCAGTGCAAACTTTCCTTTCCTACATGTTACTTGGGCCTGATTACACAGAACAATGAAAAAAGAAAATTTATTGCTGGTGTGGTCCATTATATATGAATATTTTATTCTTTTATCCCATTGTTTTCTAAACCTGCCACAAATCTTACTCCCTTTCCCCTAAAGTATCCCCTACCTTAACCATGTTTTTAGACTGAACAAAAGGCTATTTACGTAGCCATCGTGTTCAACCCTCAACTTACCATCAGACTGTATGGTCACCAAGACATATTATGTCAACTTCATTCTACCCGATTCCAGTCCCTCCACCACTATAACCTTCTTCTGCGGTGTTATTGCCTTCATATTTAATTACCCCAATGTATTCCTTGCTGGTCTTGCATTTCTCCTTATCCATTTCAAATTATCTGCAGTCTCTGACAGAGTTGGCCCCACTCTCCTCCTCCTGCAACTTCTCTTCTTCCACTTGGCTGTGACTGCACTCAACTATCAATCCAGTAGCAGCCAGACAATTGCTCGAAATGGCTCCATTTCCTATTCCTGCACAATTACTTCTGGAGTCCCCAGAAGATCAATCATTGGTTCCCTCCTATTTGTTATCTCCATAATAGTCACTGGTGACATCTTCTGAAAACACAGTGTCAAGTTTTATATTTATGCTGATGACTTTCAGCTATACTTCACCACCATCTCTCTGAGCCCCTAGACCAACTGTGATATGTCAAGCTGCACAGCCAACATTCAGTTTTGATTGAGCAGAAATTCCCTCCAATGAAATATTGAGAAGATAAAGCAATTGTCTTCAGCATCAACATAAACTCTATTCCCTCAACACTAAATCCATTCTTCTTCCTGTCGAATGCCTGTTGCTGAACTGGTCACTTGCAACCTTGACATCACATTTAACTCAAGGTGAGCTTTCAACTACACATCATTTCATCATCATGCTTCATTCTCATAACATCATCTGCCTGTATCCTTACCTCACCTGCTGTAACCCTTAACATGTCTTTGTTAACATTAACATTATTAACTTTTTACTTGACTGCTCTCTTTGCCAACCTCCCATTTTCTCATTCTGTATATACTTGATGACATTCAAAACTCTGCTGCTTATATGCTAATTTGTGCCAAATTCCTTTTGCTCTCAACTCTTATTTGCTAATCTATATTGAAAAAAATTCAATTTTAATCTTGTCATAAGTATTTAAAAATCTCTTAATGGCCTCACTTCCTTCCCCTCTTTGTAACATCCTCCAGCCCTTCAACCATCTGAGATTTGCGCAGTGCTCCAATTCTCAGCTCATGCTCATCCCTATCCCCAATTTGCATTACTGCTATATTGTGAGGTATGTCTTCTTCTGCTTCAATCCTAAGCACAGGAATTCTTTTTTAAATCTGTCAATCTCTGGACCTCACTTTGTTTCTTCGAGAAGCTTCTCAAAACCTACCTTTTTGACAAATGTTTGACTTACAGCTGTAATGGGACCTTATGAGCCTCAATGTTAGATTGTGTTTGATCCTGCTGCTGTGAAACATCTTGAGATATTTAACCACATTCAAGTTGCTACATAGATACAATTGTACACAGGCTACTACTTGTCAACTTCAACTAGTTCAAAACATAGCTACATTTTCTTTCCCCTCCAGGATTTGGTGCTGTAATCCACATATAGTGCTTGTGTATGTTAAACTTAATTTATAAAATTGAAGTTACTGTTGTTGATTTAATAACGATAAATAATTTAAACTCCATTTTGCTGCTTTGTAGGTTCAAATACTTGATTGATCAGCACGCTAAAGTGGGCTGCAACTTACAACTGATACACGATTGAGTTACCAGATAAGCAGGCATTCTGAAATTCTGCAGCAATATACCTTTGCCCCCAATTTAACACAATTTCATCGATTTCCAGATCATAGAATAAGCATCAGGATTACTTTTGGGACAATGCATTGAAAGAAAGGGGCATTTCATAATAGCAGACCATGTTTGGAAATTTGTTTTATTAAATTGGCAGTCATGAAAGAGTAACATGTAACCCCTTTTTATACTAGATGCATATGATAAAGATAATCCATTTTATTTATGTTGATTCCTGAAGCCATTAAGCAGAATAATGTGCAATAAATTTATCAAAATAAAATGTGATTTTGGAAAGTTTCAACATTCTGAAGAATTTTGAAAAAAATGTGTTTTGTATAAAAGTTGAAGAAAATAGATGAAGCAAATGGCAGTTAGCGTGAAACATTTTCACATTCAAGGGTTTCAGGGTAATTTTCTTGGACAAAATAATGCGACAGGGTGTTGTGTCTTGGGTGTTCTGCTGCACTTTGTGGAACACAGTATTAAATTAATTCTTCATCGGTCTTGGGACATTTATATCTTTTATAAGAAACTGTTAAATTAAATAATGAGTTGTTGCACTGTTCCCAATTAAATGTGAAGCTGGGAGAGCGATGAAATTTCAATGCAGGTGTATTGTCAACAGCAGTGTAATAATTGGTGTGCAGTGCTGCTGCCCCTTGATAGATGTCAGCTCGCTGTGAAGGGCAGCCATCTTGCTTCTTTTCTGAGTGGATCATGAGCAACATAACACTGAAATAATGCTTCATTAGACTGGCAGATCAAACTGTAAATGACATGCTACATTACCCATGGTCTACTAAACTATTGTTGAGACATACTAAGAAAAGTTACAGGCATGAATTATTCCTAAAGGTCTCCTGCAGAAATTAAATAAAATTACTAGATGGTCAGTTATGTTACACTGCTTGTGTCAATTGAGGTAGCTCTGACTTCAGAACTGTGACACAGACAAGGAGTGTGGTCAGCTTGAACTACAAAAAAGTGTTTAAAATCCATTGGAGGAACTGTTCTTGTACTTCATTTCCTTTGCACTGGTGGGAAAAAAATTGTTGGTTTGTGTGATAACTTTATTTGTAATAAATAATAATTCTTGTTAAGTGCAGGAAGCTGGTCCATGCTTTCAATTAACCTGGGACTATAGAGCTAAATAAATTGGATTTTGCATTCTTTTATAAGATCCTTAACTTCTGTTACAACTCTGGGTATAGTGGGGCTCGATTTCCAGCACATAATCCTAACAAGGCATGATACCACACCGATCCATCACACATGAACATCCATTCATGCAATTAACTCGATTTTATGGATTCATAGAGGCACATGAGACAAACTGAACTTTCATTGACATGAAATGAGCAAACTAATCAAATTATATAACCCAAGCAAAAGTGTGGGTTAAGCCTGGCCTTGAGGCATCGTGTTGAGCATTTAGTGTAGCTTTACAGTTGTACCAGGTTTAACAGTGCAGTGACTGGCTATATAACCTCAAAACTGATTCCCATAAAGTCTTGCTGAAAGGGAATGCAGACTAGGGAAACTGAGTGCAGAGATCTCTCCAGGTTCTGCTACTTTCAGATTTAGAATTTTCTAATCTTGGTATTATTTGGATCTAGAAAATCAGAAGCGGGTTAATTCTGTGTTCGGGTACCTGCTCTGTTTTACCATTGAGTCAGGACGTCATTAGCTGACACTTAGTTGATCACCTCCCTTTTAGGTCACAGTAAGTTTGTGTCCCAGGAAAATAGGAAACTAGGGAGAATATTGAGAAGGTGCATGGTTTTAATAAATATAAATTGATACACGAAGTAAAAGAGAAATCCATATACTGATGCAACAGTAAACATATGCTTCTTCCAAATAACATGATAGGCTAATATTCTGCAAGGCATGTGGGTGACAGATTTGAGCTGAATATTGTCCTGCTACCTCCCTGTTTGCGCTTCAAAGTCGGGAGGCAGCAGACCAATATTTACTACTGTGGTAGCACTTAATTAGTATTTCTTCCAATTTTCAAGTAGCTCTATATACTGTAAAAAGCAAGAAGCTGATGCTTGAATATAAATTGCTGCATTTAGACTCCAAGCATTCTATAGCTGACTGCAGCCCTCCCCTATACCTGCAATGAAAATCCCAACTCTAGGCTTACTTTTTCCCAATGCAGACAGGCATATATGGGAATTTTCCTGTTCCCCCACAACCCACATTGAAGACAACAGTCCAGCCTAGTAGGTTTTGAAGCTGTCAGAGAGAACAGGACATAGCGAGTAATTAACCAGAATTAGTTTACAGTATGACAGTAAGAGAATATTTTGCAAATATCAGTCATACTATGACTGAACTGTATGTTAGTTATGAGGAAGAGAAGGATGGTCATAAAATAATTTAAAGTAGAAGCAGATAAACTTTGAAGAGATAATAATAAAACTGTCTGCAGGAAAGCAGGTTTTACTGTCAACAAGGAAATTTACATATAAATAGTGGAAAGGGTTTGAGGGAATATTTGGGACAATATAAAACCAGTACGCATTCCTAAAAAGCAAAGACTTGCCTTGTGTAACTAAACAATCATGATCAACAAATCAGAGATGGAACAAGCTAACAAAAAAAGTCTTGTACAAGTAAAAGGAAAAATAGAAATTGTTCAGAATGGGACAGTTATGAAAAACAATGAAGGGCTGATAAGAAAGTAATAAGATTTAAAAAAGTGGAAACATGGGAAAGAACCTGCAAAGAATGTCAAAGGTGACAGCAAACATATTATTTCAATGTATGACGGTTATGATCCCAACTGATGAAATTACTGGATAAGTCAGATCCCAGGCTGAAACCTGGCTGGATAGATTATCTTCTGTTTTGTTTCAGTTTTGATGAGGTGAACTCTCATTGTAATATAAACACAAAGAAGTGAATTGAACAAAAGAGATAAATATAAAATAGAATAAACCACGCTATTAATAACAAGTTCAAAGATTTTTACCCACACAGTAAAAAATATAATTCCCTTAATCCAAAGATACTCCTTCACAAGTTCCAAAATAAACTTCCTTTATACAGTAGCCAACAGTATCCCTTATGCAGTACTCATAGAGTCATAGAATCATACAGCACAGATACAGACTATTCGATCCAACTCGTCCATGCTGAGCATATTCCCAAACTAAACTAATGCCACCTGCCTGCATTTGGTCCACATCCCTCCAAACCTTTCCTATTCATGGGCTTATCCAAATGTCTTTTAAATGTTGTAATCATAGCTGAATCAACCAATACCTCTACCAGTTTATTCCACACACAAACCACTCTCTGTGTAAAAACGTTTCTCCTCATTGTCCTTTTTAAATCTTTCTCCTCTCACCTTAAAAATATGCCCCGCTGGTTTTGAACTCTCCTAGCCTCAGGAAAGCACCATCGCTATTCACCTTATATATGCCCCTCATGATTTTATAAACCACTACAAGGTCACCCCAGACCAGAGAAAAAAGTATTCCTACCATCTCAATAGGCTTAACTTAACTGTGACTTTAACACTAATACAGGAAACACTTATCGCTTCTTGGTGGAGCTATCATACACCTGAGTTTAAACATACTCAGCTTCAAGTAACCTCTTCAGGGTTTTAACCCAATACTTATAGTTTCAAACTACTATTAACCCCTTAGTCTCAGGTTATCTAATTTTACTACATTTGCCACTTTTTCCTCAGGAGTACTACTCTTAATTTATTCACGGGATGTGGGCGGCACCGGCCAGGCCAGCATTTGTTACATGTCCCAGGTTGCATTAAGTGTCAACCACATTGCTGTGGGTCTGGAGTCACATGCAGGCCAGACCAAGTAAGGATGGCAGTTTCCTTCCCTGAGGGACATTAGTGAACCAGATGGGGTTTTCCTGACAATTGACAATGGATTCATGGTCATCATTAAACCTCTAATTCCAGATATTTATTGAATTCAAATTCTACCATCTGCCATGGCAGGATTCGAACCCAGGTCCCCAGAATATCATCAGGGTCTCTGGATTAATAGCCTAGCGATAATTACCTCTAGGCCATCAACTCCATCTTAGAAGCATCTCTATCTACGAGCTTACATAACTTCTGACAAACAATCAAAACTGAAAAATGTATTTCTCACTGAGGTATGGATATTTTCCCTAAGCCCAAAAAATCCTCTAAGCCTAGAAATCTCTCACAGATCTTAAAGTGCAATGGTTTACCTTGCTAAGCCATAAAATATTCAAAGGTAAATAAACCCCATTAGTGTTGCCAAACTGTTGTAAATGAAATCACCATGGCTACAGAAATACTTACATAGGTAATAATGTTTCTGTGATAGACAGAAAAACCAAATGTCACTGAGCTAAAATCCAAAACCCATCTGTTAGATAAATGATATCTAAAAAAGTATATCAGGTAGTTTATATCACAGAACATATGAACTTGGAGCTGGAGTAGACTATTTAGCTTCTGAAGCCTGCATTGCCATTCGTTGCTGATCTGTTTGTGATTCAAATTCCACATTCCTACCAACCCCCAATAATCTGTGATTCCATTGCCTAACGAGAATCTATCTACCTTCACCTTAATTATTCCATCTCCACTGTCTTCTGCGCAGAGTTTCAAAGTCGCACAATGCATGAGGGGAAAAAATTATCCTCTCCTCTGTCCTAAAATGGTGATATTTGCATTGGTGGAGGAGCAAAGATTTTTAACCTTATTCCTACAGTGCTGGACATTCCCCCAGATTGCACTGAGCAGAGACTGAATGGACCAGAATACCAATGTTGGACTAGGTTGGCATGATCTGGTGCCGTGGTTCCTCGGGGAAGAGGTCAGCCCATGCCTGCATCATCCCAACCAGTAGGACCTCCAAGTGCCTGCATAAAAAGTGGGTTACCAATCTCCCCCTGCCCGCTATCTCTGGAGAAAATGTTCAGGAACCGTACAGGGCATTTCTGAACTGGCCATGCTTGTCTGGTCAGGCTTTTAAAATGACATGGCTGCGATGGATGCCAATT